TGGGATGAGAAAATGTGTCGGGGCCGGCAGGTGGCATGCTGGTTAGGGGTGCTGGATTCCCACATGACCAACCGCGGTTCGGGTCCCAGACCTGGCAGCTTGCTTTCTTTCTCCGTCCAGTCAAATTTAAAATAAATAAATAAAGTTAAATACAATGATTCTTTTATAAAAAAAAGTGTCTGCTTAAACCGAGGCTCCTAGGCCCTGAGCTCAGCTACCTATAAAAGTGCCATAAGCTATTTCCAGAAGTTGATGAATCCTGAAGCCTCTAAGAAGCATGAGAAGCTGGAGTCCCAGCTCAGAGCACGGGCTGGTTGTGGGGGACAAAACTGCGAGGCTTGGGGCCAGCAGGTGGCACGGTGGTTAAGGTGCTGGACTCCTGCATGGCCAAATGCGGTTCAAGTCCTCGATCGAATGGCTTGCCTTCTTACTTTCCCTCTCTCTGTGTCTCTCTCTTTCTCTGAATTAAGTAATAATGATGATAATAAATAAAATTAAATAAATACTTTTTTGAGAGATTTTTGCTAGGGTATAGTGTGTGTGCTCGCCAGAGAGAGAGAGAAAGCGACATCTCACTCCCCAATGGGAATGGGCGCGCTGCAATCCCTTCTCTTCCGTTCTCCTCTCAGGAGGTTGGGCATGCATACGCATGTGCCTGTGTGAGCTTTTAAACTGCCGGGTCTGGGACACGAAATGCAGTCGACTACATGGAAGTCCAGTGATATAAACATTACACCATCTGCTGTCCCAGTAAATAGTAATTTTTTTAAAGAACTATTTTTATTTAACTTTATTTATTTATTTATTTATTTATTTTTAATTTGACCAGAGAGGGACAGAGAGAGAGAGGGAAAGTGAGAAAGCAAGCCACCAGGTCCGAGACTCGAACCACTGTCAGCCAAGTGGGAGTTCAGCATCTTTAACCACCATGCCACCTGTCAACCCTTCCCCAATAAATAAGAATTATTTATTTTAAATAATTCTTTAAAAAACATTGTGATGCCTTTTCCCACCTCTGACCCCAACACTAGGTCATAAATCGCTCTAACCATAAGGTGATCCAGCCCAAAGATCAACCCATGGGACTGCTGCTTCCCATGAAAACGCACATCTTGCACGGCTTCTGACCTAATTTAGAGGACAGCCACGGTCGACAAGGCGTGTCTGTGTGAGTTCCCTTAGCTGTGACAGTCCCAACTGCGTTTTCTTCGTCATCTGTCCTATTTCCTGGCTGGTTACCGCTGGCACAGATGAAGGCCATGTGCTTCCTATGTGGCCACCTACTCCGCCACGTGTTCAGATGTTCTCTGTTCTGACAATCACAGCACCTCCCACACACCATCGAGCTCTCCTGTACTTTCCTGTCATAATTTCTTTTCTTGTCTTATTGCTTTAGCTGGAACGCTCAGCACTGTATGAAATGGCAAGCCAGACTGGTCTCGTTCCTTTGCTGATTGCTTCTGGGGTTTTGCCAAGTTTAGGCTGGCTGCTGAGTAAGGCAGAGTGTGTGTGTGTGTGTGTGTGTGTGTGTGTGTGCGTGTGCACAGGTGCATCTACGTGTGTTAAGTGCGTTAAGGATGTAGACTTCTGTTTCTAGATAAGTAAAGATGGGAAAAATAAGAATGGAGGTGAGAGACCAGCAGTTGACGTAATGGCTATGTCACTGGACTCCCACGTAGTCGACCACAGTTTGAGTCCCAGACCCAGTGGCTTAAACTCACACCGGGCGCGTGTGCGTGCGTGCCCAAGATCCCAAGAGGAGAATGGAGGAGAAGGGGTTGCGGCGTGGCCATCTCCTCTGGGGGTGATTTCTCACTTTCTGTCTCTCTCTTTCTGGTGAGCACACACGCCCTATAGCAAAAACCTTAAAAAAAAAAAAAAAAAAAAAGGGAGGTAAGATTTTATTCAATGATTTTTCTAACATTCAATGATCCATCACAGCATTAAGCCTAGGGAACCTGGCTGCTAACCCTCACAGTGACGGCTGGGTGACAGTGAGGTTCCAGAAATGCTATTTCCCAACGGCTTCCAGGCTCCCTCCTTCGCGGGGCTCGCATTAATAGCAGGCCCAGAGGTGGCCCTTCTCCCTTGCCTGGACTCAGCCAGAGACTTCTAGGTGCTTGGGACAAAATACAAAATCCTTCCCTTGGCTGGGCGATGAGACCGGCTCCCTACCACTCACCTCCTTGCCTCTGTCTATCCATATTCCCATCCTCCTCCCTCATTGCCAGTTCCCTGGCGTCTCCTGTCAGTCACCAGCGGTCACGTCTCCCTCAAGAAGGTCTCCCCAGGCCACGCCCCTCACCTAGGCCCCTCCTCCCACCATACTTGGTTCAGAGTCCACGTCTCTGGTCTGCGGGCCCATAGAGGACAGGGGCTACCACGGGCTCCTTCCCTGTCCTAGGTCAAAGGCCCAGCTTCGGGCCTGGCTCTGAGAAAGTGATCCGTCACCATCCAGGGGTCCCCTGGGCCGTCCTCCCCCCAGGGTGGGACCACCCGGCCGGGGCGTCCCCGTCACACACCAGGGCAGAGCACACAGCAGGCAATACCCACCCGGTCACCAGCTGCTCAGTATAGTAACAGCTGGGGTGAGAGGGAAGGCCCCGG